CGGGAGAAGATGCAGAAGGAATGTGCTGCCATCCGGTCATCTTTCCGAGAAGAGGACAACACGTACCGCTGCCGGAATGTAGCCAAACTACTGTACATGCATATGCTGGGCTACCCTGCACACTTTGGACAGGTAGGCCGCCTTCTCTTTGAGCGGCAGTGCTGGAACTGGGCATTGGTGGTGGCCTCCAGTCTAAGCATGGCCTTCCCTCTTCCCTCAGAATCCATAAGTCTATTATATAAAGTTGTGTAATACTTGGCTTGGTAGCGGAATGATCCAGAGTATTCCAGATTATTGGTTAATGAAAGTGGGTGGTAAACAACCTGACCAGGTGACCTCCAGCTAAGCATGGATTGTTAAGAAATGCTGGATCTCTCTCCCAGGGGAGATGCTGTTTATCACACGAAGGGGCTTGGCACAGAGGAGGGAATGATCTCTCTGATTTAATTCCATCAAGTGCTGCAAGACGCTGCAGATGGCTGATTCCATTTCTGAATTTTCCTAAGTGTTCCGGTGTGCTTGTTGTGAATGGGCCAGTGCAATCCTTGTTGTAATAAATGGCCTGTGGGAAGACTTTTTTGGCTCTGTCCCTTTATGATTGTATTTCAGCAGGGTTTATTTTCCACTTGTATTTTGTGTGTCTTTTAATGTAATAATGCACTTTGTACTTTGCCTGTTAGTTTATGTAATGTCACTATAAATATTTTTGTAAGAAACAGATTCTGTTTACATTCTTGGAGGAGGGTGCTTTTGTGTTTCCAGGTGATTCTGTTGTTGCCCACCTGCCCCTTGCTTGTTTGCGTTCCCTCTGCCCGCTCACTGTGTCCTCCTGTCCTCTCCATCACCCCCGCCCCCCTGCTGTCCTTGCCCGTCCCTCCCCCCCTCTGCCCTCGAGGGCAGCAGTGGGCGGGGGAGGGGGTCAGGGGCTCCTGCTCTGCTGTCTGGCTTCAGCAGCGTCTCCCTGCTCCTCCAGCGTCTCCCACGTTGGGTGGGACAGTAGCTGCTGGGGGGTAGACTGATTGGGAAGTTTAGCCCCCGCCTGTTTAAAAAAAATGTAGTTTTTCCTGCCAAATGCTCTTTGTTAAACTTAATGAATTTGTGTTCAGCGCAAAGAGGAAAGACAGGATATAAATATTTTAATAAATAGAAATAAATTAGTGACATTTAGATAAGAAACAGCATGTCACAGTCTTCAGAATATCCATTTTCCCCCCTCGAGAGAGAGAATGGCATGGCTGTATCTCTCTGGCCATATCCCCGCTGGCCTCTCTGCTTGCTGGGTTTGTTGAGGTCCCTCCTCCGCCACAGGGTCAGGGGAGGCCCTTGGCCATTTGTGCCACTCACTTTTCTTCTTCCCCACCCTGTTTTCCCGTTGACTTGGAAGTCCAGCGGGCCTTACAGCCCTCGGAGGGAGGGAGGGAGGGAGGGGTCTCCGTGTTCTGATGCCTGTATTGCAGGGTCCACTGGGATGAAGGCTCCTGTAGCAAACCATTTCTCTGTCCCTTCCTGCAGCTGGAGTGCCTCAAACTGATTGCCTCTCAGAAATTTACGGACAAGCGGATTGGGTACCTTGGAGCCATGCTACTGCTGGATGAGAGGCAGGATGTCCACCTTCTCATGACCAACTGCATCAAGAAGTAAAGCCTTTTCCTGTCCCGCTGTTGGGCTTTGGGGGCTCTTGCTTGTAGTGGGGATTTTGCAAAGGCCGGACTCAGATGGCAGCGCTCAGAATGGACCCGAGGAGTTTTGGTGTTCTGCATGTCTTGGTCTGGCTTCCCCTCCAAAGGTTGTGGCTACAGTGCAGATGCTTGTAGGGCCCACCTTGAACAGAGAGCCAGGAAGGCAGCAGCGGTCTGCCTGCTGGTGGGGCAGTTAACCAGCGTTGTCTTGCTCCAGCTCTGTCCATGCCCTGATGCTGCCTGCCTGCCTGCCTGCCTCTGGATCCACGGAGGTCCGGCCTGTGGGGTGGCCATGACTTGGCTTCAAGAAATGCGTGTTCTTTTGTCTGCTGGATTTGCAGAGATGTGAGCCTCTGGAGCTCTTGCGCACCACCGTGTAGGACTGTTGGTCCGCCTAGCTGAGCGCTGTCCGCTCTGACTGGCAGTGGCTGACCGGGGTCTCAGGTGTGGCAGAAGCTTTCCTGGCGCCTCCTTTTAACTGGAGGAGGAGCCCCGTGGAACTGGCTGGGAGAGGCTGTGGCGGGCAGAACAGCCCCACTTCTTGCTGGATCCCTTTCCCAGAGTTGCGTGAAGAGCAGCAGGCCTCGTTGGCCAGCCTTGTCCTGTTTCCCCCTGTACTCATTGCCTTTTGGGTTTAATTGGGCTGCTTTCTTTTCCTCTTAGTGACCTTAATCACAGCACGCAGTATGTGCAGGGCCTTGCACTCTGTACTCTGGGCTGCATGGGCTCTTCTGAGATGTGCCGTGACCTAGCTGGGGAGGTGGAGAAGCTCCTGAAAACGTCCAACTCTTACTTGAGGAAAAAGGTACTCAGCTGTTGAAGGGAGGTTCTGAGGTTCCTTTGCTTGGAGGCCCTGTGGTGATAACAGAAGTTCCAAGACCCACCAAAGGCCTTGGGTTTCCCCGTAGGGTTGGTGACCCTTGAGCCATTTCGTCCTCTTAAGACGGCCTTTGGCTTGCTCCCTCACCAGTGTTGGCTGGAATGGCAGGTATCTGTGTTCTCCTGACCTTGCAAGGTGCTTCCAAGTGGCTCCTAGGAGGGGCTCATTTATCCAGCACAGCAGCCGCTCCACAGCCTCCTTGGACTTTCCTGGGCTCCATCATGGGAGTGCTGCTGCCGTGGAGGAGCATGGCAGGGTGGGGTTTGCTTCTGCCCGTTTCCTCCGTAAGCAGCTGTCCAGTGGGAGCCGGAGTGAAGCTGCTGGCTCCAGCCACGCGGGAGGAAGACCCTTCTGTATGGGGCAGGGGGTTGCAGCTGGCCTGCAGGGGGGAAGGGATCACGAGAGGGGATGGGGGGATGGGGCCTGCCCTCGGGCAGAGGAAGCGGAAGAGTGGCCGAGGGTGAGCAAGGAGTAGGAATGGTGGAGGCAACAGGGACAGGCGTCCTGGAGTACCTACAAGGCTGTGGGAAGGTGTTGGGTGGCTTGGGCTAGCTGGAGAGAGGAGAAGGCGCTCCCGGCTAGGAGAGGCTAATCTGGAGAAGCTGGCGGGGTCAGTCTCATGGGCCTGTCCAACCACAGGCAGCCTCCCTTGCCCTGGACTTGTCCCTGGGAGGGACAACAGAGGGCCCTTCCCAGAGGCCCTCCTTGGAGGCTCGTATGTAGAGGGGGGGGGGATGCAACTAAAAATGTATTTGTTTTAGCTTTTTAACTGGGTGGGGGGTGGGGGTGGAGGCTGCATTCACAGCTGTCAGACTGTCTCCTGCCCGTGTCCTTCTGCAGGCAGCCCTGTGTGCCGTTCATGTCATCAGGAAGGTGCCTGAGCTCATGGAGATGTTCCTGCCAGCCACAAAGAATTTGCTGAACGAGAAAAATCATGGTAATGGCCAGCAATCAGGAGCAGCGAGGGAAATCACTGGGGCCGTGTCTGCCAGGGGAGCCCCGTGTCGCCTTCGTGTTCCTGGGACTTCCCGCTTTGCCAGGCCTCCGTGTGGGGATGGTGGCGTGGCTCTTTTCCTGACCAGCAGAGTGAAGGAAGCCAGACCGTGCGGCTTGCAGGCTTCTCTGGGACCTGCAGGCGCCACCCTGCCACGTGGTGTGAATGCGATGCTCAGGCGGACAGCAGGGGGCCTGGTCTCTGTTGTGAGGGGAGGACCCCGGAGGCCAAAGCTGCTTTGCTTTGGGTCCTGCCAGAGGCGGAAGCCGGCTGTGTGCTGCCAGGTCCTAGAGCCCATGGCCCTGGCATCAAACCAAGGCCCTGCCTTCTCACCCTGCTGCCATGATCAAAGGCCAAACCTTCAGAGTGAAAATGGTGGCCCAGCCTCGGACTGGCATCACCCTGCTGGGGCAGCCCAGAGCACCTCAGGGGCTCATGCAGGGGACTGTCCTGTGAAGG